CTCATGCTAACAGCATGATAATTCGAAGCCTCCATCAGGGCAGTGTCGGGCTCCTTCAAAATGTCCCTTTCAAGTTCAGGGTTGGAGAAAGATTCACCGCAAAAATCAGCAAATTCAGCAGCTTCTCTGCTCGGCATCATCCCTATGTCACAGTAGTTTACGCTTCCGACAAGGTGAGACCTCGAGTTAACCCCTAAAGAACAAGCAATTCGGTACGTCTCTTCCTTCGCTAGGTCCATCTCACCTGAAGAACTGGACCCTGAGTAAAAATGAACTTCACCATAGTCTTCTGGCCTGGAGTTAAGCCTCAGCTCCCCATGGCCAAGAAACTATCCATCTACGACCTCTTCAGTCAAACGAATGGACTCCCGATAAAATCAAGACTTACTCTGTTGACGAGCATTGTGGGGGTATCGCCCCCAGTATCCTCAAGACAAGACATGGGCCGCACCATCAGAGGTGGCCTAGCCCACAAGATCGAGACGTGCACGGCGCTGCTCGGCGTGCACCGCAAGCTATTGTATAGTACCAAATAGGATACTTTCCTTGTAACCCTACCCCTTCAGACTATATAAGGTGGGGGTAGGGGTCCCCTAGCGGATAGATCGATACATCTCAATGCAATACATCAGAACATAGGATGTAGGTATTACGTCATACTGACGGCCAAACCTGTCTAAATCTTGTGTCTTGGTGCTTGTATTACCATCTCGCTCCTGATCTTGCTCATCTCTACGACAAATCTACCATCGTGGGATACCTCTCAGTGGACTGCCGAGCATCTTTTGTCGACAGTTGGCGCGTCAGGTAGGGCTGTGCGCTTGATCCGATGGCGAGCCAGATGGACCTCAAATCAACAGCACGTTCTCGTCATCAATCTCGTGGAGATCCATGTCGGTCCATGACGACGATTCATCGTTGGCTACACCAGCCCCCGCGACAGCAGATCCGATCTCGGAAGCACCGTCGAGGTCGTCTTCACCAACAACTCACCGCCCGCCAGGTGCTCGCCATCAACGCCGACCAGATAACGCCATACATCGCCGATCAGACTTTCTGTCTAAAGCTAAGTCACGTTTTAATATTCTTCTAAATATTCTACAATCTCCATATATCGCCATAATGTTTCTCCGAGCTGTTTTCTCCATGTTTGCTCTCCAAACGATTTTCCGAACCCCTGAACAGTCATGTTGATGCTCGGACGCCTCCAGAGACGGCCCTGTCTCCGGCTCCTCCCTACACGTGCACGAGCGTCTGCCCTCTGCGTTATGGGTGGTCGGCAGTGGCTCCTTAGCGACGCCTGTTCCTCCTACACGTGCACGGGCTCCGCGCTCGACGTTATGGACTATGGGCTAGCTAGGGCTGGAGACTCAGCTACACACTAACTAGCCGGGCGGTTTGTATTAAATATAAATACATCTTCTCTCCAACTGATCGCCGAGCTACATACGCTATTTTTTTCTCCGGAGTTCATATATTTTTACATCATATACTACCCGTTCTACATATTTGTATTGCAGGATCATCGTCCAGGTGATCGGACCACCTGGTGCTCAGACTTCTCCACCGATCAACTGGTCGGACCGCTTGGTTCATGGACTCCGTCACCGACCAGTTGATCGGACTGTTCGCCGATCGCTTCTACTCAATGCTCACTTCACCGTTGACCAGTTGACCAGACTGTTCGTCGCTCATGCTTCATCACCAGCGACACCGGGGATTCCTCGGCGCTCGAGGACTAAGTGGGCACACTTCACCGCACAGACATCACCAGCTGCGGCAGGGAATCCTCGGTGCTCGGACATCGCCAGCGACGCTGGGGACTCCTCGCTCCTCGGTGCTTGGACATCGCCAGCGACGCCGGGGAGTCTTCGTTCTTCGGTGCTCGTACATCGCCAGCGACGCCAGGGATTCCTGGCTCTTCGGTGCTCGGACATCTCCAGCGACGCCGGGGACTCCTCGCTCCTCGGTGCCCGGACATCGTTAGCGCCGTCGGGGATTCCTCGCTCTTCAATGCTCGGACATCGCTAGCAACGCCGGGGACTCCTCGCTCCTCGGTGCTCGGACATTACCAGCGACGCCGGGGACTCCTCGCTCTTCGGTGCTCGGACATCGCCAGCGACGCCGGGGAGTCCTCGCTGCTCGGACATCGCCAGCGACACCGGGGACTCCTCGCTCCTCGGTGCTTGGACATCGCCAGCGACGCAGGGGATTCCTCGCTCTTCAGTGCTCGGACATCGCCAGCTACGCCAGGAACTCCTCGCTGCTCGGACGTCGCCAGCTGCGCCGGGAACTCTTCGGTGCTCGGACATCGCCAGCTACGCCGGGAACTCCTCGCTGCTCAGACATCGCCCACGCCGGGGACTCCTTAGTGCTCGGACATCACCAGCTACGCCGGGGACTCCTCGGCGCTCGGACATCGCCCTTGGTGGTCGGATCTTGCTACGTCTCGTCGGTGTGCTATCAAGCTGCACCATGCTGTTTGGATCAAGGTGCTGATCTTGGGCAACACGTCTGGGGTCTTGATACGCGCATGTCAGATGACGTCGGCAAGCTTTCAGACTTGTTTTTCTTTGACCCTGCTACAAGATTCATTCTTCATCTTCCAGCAGGCTCAGGGACTAAGTAGACACACTTCACCTTGCGGTGAATGTGCGCTTTTCTCATCTCGAGGCTATGCCCGGGGACTGGCTGCCTGCTCGGCTGGTCTTTTACTTTCTGACCCTGGCACCATGTGACTACGTCACCTACTGTCAGGCTCAGAGACTACCTGTGGGGGTATGGCCCCCGGTATCCTCAAGACAAGACATGGGCCGCACCATCAGAGATGGCCTAGCCCACAAGATCAAGGCGTGCACGACGCTGCTCGGCGTGCACCGTAAGCTATTGTATAGTACCAAATAGGATACTTTCCTCGTAACCCTACCCCTCCGGACTATATAAGGCGGGGGTAGGGGTCCCCTAGCGGATAGATCGATACATCTCAATGCAATACATCAGAACACAAGATGTCGGTATTACGTCATACTGACGGTCGAACCTGTCTAAATCTTGTGTCTTGGTGCTTGTATTACCATCTCGCTCCTGATCTTGCTCACCTCTACGACAAATCTACCATCGTGGGATACCCCTTGGTGGACTGCCGAGCATCTTTTGTCGACAAGCATCGACAGCCACCTTCGTCAGGGGTGCAGCAGGTTGAGAATCAGCACGGCGGAGGGCGGCAACAGTGACCGGAGGCGGGCAGGGAGGCGGGGGGCCTAGGACGCCGGTGAAATGGCCTCCGAGTCGCCCGTTGGGGGTGCTCGGGGGAAGGAGAGAGGGAGTAATTTTAGGCATTTCAAGAGTATATATAAAGTATACAGACTACAGTAAGCTTTTGTGTATCTGGGCGTCAGAGCATGAAGCCTAAATTTCCTAGAGAACAGCTGAAGATTCGGTAAGTATGAAACTAGATGAATTGGGCGAGAGAGGGAGGGAGATCTAGCTTGGGCAGGACGTGGGAGAAAGAACGTGTAGCAGGAGTTAGAGAAAATACAACACTTGTCTTATTGCCAAGCTAATCAGTATTTTTGTTGATGTGGATGAGAGAATGGAGGAGAAAGAGAGAACTTGGCTCTCGTGCAAAAAAAAACAAAACAAGTTAGGCACGAAAACATAGGGAATAGTGGGTTCCAATAGAGATGTGTGCGAGGAGTAATAAAAAATAGAATGAAAACATCAAATAATAAAAGAGTTTATAGTAATATGAGACTAACTGTTGTATAGCTTAGCTCTTATAACTTAACTTATAGCTAAGTACTTAGTTTTATTATTGACTTAGCTCTTTACGGGCATTCGCGGGGTTCCGTCAGCAGGAAACGTGCAACGACATTTTGGTGGGCAGCGTGGAGGGGGCACGGTAGAAACGAGATGCTTTCCCTCAACGCGGTACAAGTAGTTTCATGATCTATCGAAATATTTTGGATGAGTTTATATATAGTACAAGGATAATTTACGTGGTCCCACACTGCAATTGATGTCGACCATCGACGACAAAATATATGATGGCATTTGACTTGCTCCGGTTTCCACGCACGCCTAGACTCTAGCCTTTCATTTTGCTCCTGTTTCCACGCACGCCTGCGACACTGCTGGCTCCGACCGCGAACTTTGGTTCCGCCAGGCATGTCCAGGTCGTTTGACTCCCTCGTTCTGCTTGTTACCTTGAAGCTCTGGAAGGAGCGAAACAAGCGAACGTTAGGAAGAAGGCAGATGCAGGTGACGGCGTTGTTGGAACGCATAGCTCAGAAGGGAGATTCCTGGCTGGCCGCGGGATTCAACGCGCTGGAGCTGCTGCTCGCCCGGAAAGGCTGACTTCGCAATCCATTCCCGTCGCACTACTTGCTCAGCCATGTTTTTCTTTTTTTTTGTTCCGGAAACTTCCCTTTTTTAGCCCGGAATGGTCTAGAATTGTTTCTGGCCGGGAACCATTCAATAATCAATCCTGGCATAGAAAGGCCGGCAACGGTATCGAATGACGCCTTAACGAAATACATGCCAAAGCGCGTTCACTAAAAAAAAGAGTAGCGTTTACACTTACTCTGAACTGGGAATTTTTTTTGGTTATGTGAGAAATGAATCATGGCGTGTTCTTATTGGAACTAACAGCCAAACTTGTTTGGAACCAATGGAAGAATGAGACTCAATGTTCACGCTGATATTATCAAATTCTGGGTTATATATCATCCCGAAACAGTTTAAATTTTTGCTTCTGCCATTTATTTGTGCGTATCAAATTTCTATGGGCTTTCAGGGTTGTTAATTGTTATTAATGTTTCGGTAAGCTCATACTTGTATTGTATTGTTATAGCCTTCTTGGTCTAATCGAAAACTAAAACAATCAAATCGGGAACCCTAAAAGTCTATTCCACGGTTGTTGATCGACGAAATATATAAGCACATGCTGCGTTCCACGGTTCAAGTAGAAGCCCCTTTGTCCTTCTCTCCCTTATCACACCATGGCCAAAAGCAAGCTTAGTACCGTGCAGCTCCAACTGATAACTATCTCGATGGCGCTCGCCGCCGCCGCCGCCACCACCACCACGCACCTCCGGTTCTACATGCACGACATCGTGACAGCAACAGCAGAGAGCCCGGCCACGGGGGTGCGTGTGGCGAGGGGCACAACGCCGCTGCCGGGAGACCCCGGCACCCCTGCCCGCTTCGGCGACATGCACGTGATCGACGACCCACTGACGGAGGGTCCCGATGCGGCGTCGCCGGCAGTGGGGCGCGCGCAGGGGTTCTACCCCTTCGCGGATCAGCAGCAGCTGGCGGTGATATTCTCCCTCAACATAGTGTTCACGGCGGGGAAGCACAACGGCAGCTACCTCGTCGTCAATGGAAAGGACGCCTTCTTTGACGAGGTCAGGGAGCTGGCGGTCATTGGCGGAGCCGGCAGGTTCCGTGGAGCCACCGGTTACGCTCTGCTCAGGACGCACTACTTCAACTCCACCACCAAGAACGCCGTGGTCAAGATCGACATGTACCTGCGCGTGTAGGGAGCAGTATGTTAGGAGTTCCTTTTTCAAGCATCATTGTGGTGTGAGTGTGTGACCATCACTGTCCCTTGTATCGTTTTCTATTCTCGTAATAATGTTTCATTGGCGTGTTGGGGCCTTGAAAATGAAATCAGAATTATATTGTTAGTAAATTCTCTGTGACGCTTTGGAATTAAATTACAATGTTGAGAACTTCCGATTAGTATAATATATACACGTACGTTGAATATTGTTGTGTAGTTATACCTGGATCGACTAGCGATCATGTCAATTCACCGGTGAATCAAACTTTATTCTAGGGACATGTGCTGCTCTAACTCGTATGAACATGAAATATTTATGGATTTATTTTCTTTTGACGCAAACTACGGAGGGGAGAGCTTCCCTGCCTGAATATATCGATTTATCATGAACGGCCTCGTTTTTAGGGAACGAGGCAAAAACCCGGACAGAAACCCCAGCATAAGGGTTAGATCGTGGCATGTCCAAAATTACACCAAATAGAGAAAAAGAAAAACAACAACGTCAATGCACAGTAACTCTTCGACGATGCATCCAAGGAGGTGGATGACGCCGCTACGTAATCATCGTCGGACAAGCAACAAGAGGTGACGCCACAAGAGCTTGGCAAGGCTTTCGCCTGAGCCTTGTGTGGAGGGGTTGAAACAGGCCGGCCATGGAGAAGAAGCAGCACGAAGGTTCTTCAGCAACAGCTTCAAGGAGATCCTAATCGCTGGCATAGACTGACCGAGCTGAGCTTTCACCCAGAACCTTTGCTAGTACTCCCTTTGAGACGGAGGTGGTATGCCAGTCGCCGCCACACCGAGCAGATCCGTTATCGGACTCGCCCGCGAGAGTGGAAGACGCGCTCTGGCAAGCATCCGTCCCTGGATGGAGGGGGTGCCGGCCGCCGCCACACCTTGTGGAGCCATTTTCGGACTCGCTTGCGCCCGTGGGAGGCGCGCACCGGCAAGCATCTACGCCTGGACGGAGGGGTGATGCTGGTCGCCGCCACACCTCGCAAAGCCATCGTCGTACTTGCCCGTGATGGTGGGAGGTGCGCTCCTACAGTTGTCCGCGCCTCGACGGAAGGGGGGTGGTCATCGCCACCACAGCACGCGAAGCCTTTGTCAGACTCGCCGGCGATGGTGACGGCTCGCGCCTGGACGGAGGAGGGTGTCGGTCGTCGTCACACCTCGCGGAGCTATTCCCGGACTCGGCCGCGATGGTGGGAGGCGTGCACCAGCAATCGTCCGTGCCTGGACGTAGGGGGGTGCCGGTAGCCGCCACATCTCATGGAGCCACTAACTGTCTCACTCGCGATGGTGGGAGGCGCGCACTGGTAGTGCCGGCCGCCAGCACACCTCGCAGAGCCATTTTTGGACTCGCCCGCGACGATGGGAGGCACGCACCGGCAAACGTCGCCCTAGTCCTCGATGAAGCCCCGGCACGGCGCCACAACCGCACGTGGCACTGCAGACCGCCCACTGAAGCCTGCAGCCGTCAAGCCAGACAAGTCGCGCCCAAACCCAACATCGCTGCGCAAATCCGTCTGCTACAAAAACGCGAACAGCCGGGGAAGCACCTGATCTACGCTGGGGAAGCTGACCGCCGCCGCCGCACCATGCATCCGTTGAAACCTTCCCCGTCCACCAGCTGGCCGGCGAGGTCGCCGCCAACGCCGGAGGCCATCCGCCGTTAGCTAATCTCGCCACCTTGTGTGAACACAAGAGAGAGAAAGCGGCGCCGACTTAGCTGCTGGCGTGTGTGAACACAAACAAGGGAAGCGGCGCCGACTTTGCCCCTATTGTGATCTGATGGCAGCCAGAGAGTGCAAAGCGCCGCACGGCTCACCTACAACCTTCAGAGGAACAGCAAAGGGCCGGCGGCAGAGTCAGTCACTGTCGGGTTATCTAGTTCTTGTGCCGACGATGGGCGCCGCACATAGACTAGATAGTTAGAGTTGTATAAATAGACATGTATGGCAACTCGATAAAGAGAGCTCAGATTTGCCATCACACGGACATGGTTTCGCCAACGCCGTTGCCTTGTATTGTGCGTGCTTGCTCGCTCTCCTTCCTCTTCTAGCTCGATCCATAGTGTGTGGAGTACGGACAACGCCGGATGCGTGGTCCTTGCGGCTAGTGGGTGCTCGGCAACACTAGCGCGTGCTTTCGGCGAGACCGACAAGTGCTCCACTACTTTGAGCCGGTGGTCGGCAAGATCGGTGGAGTGGTTCACTATCGTGAGCCGGTGATCCTGTGAGACCAACGAAGTGGTCTGGAGATCATCTCGGTGGTCGGGAGGCTAACTGTGGGCCAATAAGTGGTATCAGAGCCGTACAAGCGCCGTCGTCATTCTAACCGATGGCGATGACAGGTGGTTCGGAGTTGGGCGACGGCGATGCTTGTCGTGGCTGCCCAGCCACTACCGGATGTAGTTGTTCAGACGGTGCGGAGGTCGGCGGCACCACTTGGCCGACGCCGACTCGCACTAACTATGGAGAGTGGTCGGTGACCATGAAGGTCAAGCTTCGAGCCCGTCGGCTCGGAATGCTGATGACAAGGGCACCGGCGTGGAAGAAGACGACATGTCGGCGATGGAGGCTATACTACTGCTGTACCGCGGAGTATAGGGAACCGTTGGGGACGAAGAGCTCAGCTAAGGAGGCGTGGGAGGCCATTGCGGCGATGCGTGTCGGTTCGACCACGCGCAAAGAAGGCAACGGCCCGAGCCACGAAGCGAGAGTCGCAAACCTCAAGTTCAAGGATGGTGAAACGGTGGAGGACTTCTCCCTCCGCTGCGAGACGCTCATCGCAAAATGAAGAGCCACGCAGCGTCACCATCGATGAAGAGGAGGCGATCTCAAGTTCCTCCACTCCGTCTTGCGGCAAAGTACATCGAGATCGCTCTATCCATAGAGACGATCTTGGACTTGTCCACCCTCACCATCGAGGATGTGGCGAGGCCATCTACGGGCGGTGGACGGCGCTGGAGTAAGCGGCGAACAACGAAGACGGCGAAAACTCTGGCCGACGGAAGAGGTGGGCTGCTCGGCGAAACTCCGGGAAGGCGGCCTCCTCCGGTCAGCGGTGGCAACGACAAACATCGGGCAGGGCTTCTTCGGTGAAGAAGCAAATCGACTCAACGCTTTTGTCGGTGTTGCGGGAAGATGGGCCATTGGGCGCGGGAGTGCCCAAATCGCAAGAAGGAAAAGAAGGCTCGAGCTCACTGGCGGCGCGGATGATGAGGATGAGGCTACTATCCTTATGGTGACGTTACATACCTTTGCACGGCGCCGAGGCCATGGAGAGGAAGAGGCGACGACGGTGGAAGGATCTAGCAAGGCCATGAAGACCGTCAACCTCGACGAACCACGCGCCCAAGTCCATCTTGGGCATGTGGGCATCAATCAGGAGCATCAGTGGTATCTGGACTCTGGTGCCAGTAACCACATGACGGGCTCCAAGGACTCCTTCTCCGAGCTCGACGGCGATGTTACCGGTACGGTGAAGTTTGGTGATGGCTCAAGGGTGGCTATCCAAGGGCGCGGCACCATCATCTTCAGATGCTAGAATGGGGAGCACCGTGCGCTAACGGATGTATACTACATCCCGCACTGCGTTCGGCATCATCGGCATTGGTCACCGGATGAGCCTTGTAGCGAGGTTCGATCAAGGACGGCGTTCTGAGGATCAGAGACCGGGAGCAGCGACTTCTTGCCAAGGTGAAGAGGTCCCTGAACCGGTTGTACCTGCTCGACCTGAAGGTAGAGCAGCCGGTTTGCCTGGCGGCAAGGCACTCCGAGGAACCGTGGATGTGGCATGCCCGGTTCGGACATCTCAGCTTCGACGCGCTTGGTCGGCTGGGGAAGATGGTCCGAGGGCTACCCTACATCAAACACGGAGGAGCTGTGTGACAGCTGCCTAGCCGGGAAGCAGAGGAGGCTACCTTTCCCAAAGGCGGCCAAGTATCGCGCGAAGGAAGCTCTCGAGCTAGTTCACGGCGACCTCTGCGGGCCGATCACGCCTGCTACATGCGGTGGTTGGTGGTACTTCCTCCTACTCATGGACGATTGCAGTCGCTACATGTGGCTGCAACTCCTGACGAGCAAGGACGAAGGGGCGGTGGCGATCAAGAAGTTCAAGACGCAGCGAGGCCGAGAGCGGCAAGAAGCTCCTCGTCTTGAGGGACCGATCGGGTGGCGAATTCACTTGGTGGAGTTTGCTACGTCTTCGCGCGGATCAAGGTGTGGGGCAACATCACACCACGCCGTACTCGCCACAACAGAATGGCGTGGTGGAGCGACGGAACCAGACAGTGGTCGGCATGGCCCGATCCATGATGAAGGCCAAAGGGATGCCGGCAAAGTTCTGGGGAGAGGCGGTGACCACGGCGGTGTTCATCCTCAACCGCGCTCCAACCAAAGCCCTAACGGGCAAGACGCCGTTCAAGCTTGGTACGGAGCAAGCCGAACGTGTCATTCCTCCGGACATTCGGTTGCATCGGCCACGTCAAGAAGACGGCGAACCTCACCAAGCCGGAGGACGAGCACACCCATGGTGTTCTGGGCTCTGCGGAGGGTACCAAGGCGTCTGGGCTCTATGACCCACGCGAGACAAGGTGACTGTCTCGCGCGACGTTGTGTTCAACGAGGAGGCAGCTTTGGGATCGCACAGTCCGAGCACGGGGAAGCGGGAGGCTTCACCAACACCTTCGTCGTCGAGCACTTGGTCATCCACGACGGTGGAGACGCCTGCGAACAGTGTGCCACGCACTCGGGAGGCGCGCCGAGCACTCCGGCGGTAGAGCCGAAACGCTTCAGGGCGATGCCGAGCACTTCAGAGGGGATGCCGAGCACTCCGAGAGGAGTGTCGAGCACTTCGGAGGAATTCCGAGCACGCCAGAGTGGAGCCAGCGGTTCTCTGATGGCGGCGACCACTTCGGGACGGTACCGAGCACTCCGTGGCGGAGCCAAGACGTCTTCTGTGGTTCCGACCACTCCAAGATCGAGGTGGCACTCCTACGGTGTGGCGAACACTGCAGGAGTTATGACGAGCGATCCGAAGCGATCTTAGAGCACTTCAAAAAGCTATGGAGGGCACTCTGGCGGAAGAAGGAACTCCATCACCCCTGATCGAGTTCGCCTCACCTCCAAGTGACATCACTGAGTTTGTGGACGCCTACCACGAAGGTGAGGAGTTGAGGTTCCGCAGGCTGGACGACATCGTCGGCGGCACAGGTCCCTCAGGTATGGCGGGTAGGCTGCTCAACGACGCAGAGCTGCTACTCGTCAGTGCAGAGGAACCACCCACGTTCGCGCTAGCCGAGCGCGATGGAAACTGGCGACGGGCAATGCTGGGAGATGAAGGCGATCGAGGAAAACGAGACTTGGCAGCTCGTCGATCCACCCCCAGTGATGCCGTCCGATCAGCTGAAGTGGGTGTACAAAGTCAAAAGGGACGAGCTCGGCGCCATTGTCAAGTACAAAGCGCGCCTCGTCGCCCGAGGCTTTGTCCAGCGCGAGGGCATCGACTTCGAGGAGGTCTTTGCACCAGTAGCGCGCATGGAGTCGGTCCGTTTGCTACTTGCTTTGGCGGCAGCAAAGGACTGGCGCGTCCATCACATGGACGTTAAATCGGCCTTCCTCAACGGCGGGCTGGCGGAAACGGTCTTCGTCAGGCAACCTCCAGGGTTCGCTGTCAAGGGAGAGGAGCACAGGTGCTCGATCTAGCATAAAGCGCTCTGGCCGAGGCAAGCCCTCGAGCATGGAACGCCAAGCTTGACACCACGCCGGGCGAGCTTGGGTTTCAGAGTGCAGCGCAAAACGCACGCGCTCTACACGCGACGACGGGGAAGGAAGAACTCATGGTCGGCGTGTATGTGGATGACTTAATCGTCACCGCGCGCCGCGCGGAGAATATCAATAGCTTCAAGCGAGAGATGGTAGCTCGTTTCCGAATGAGCGATCTCGGCGCTCTCTCCCTACCTCGGCATCGAGGTGAGACAGGGAAGGAGGAACTCACGCTCGGGCAAGCGCGTATGCCTCAAGCTGTGTTGGAGAGGAGCGGCATGGTGGAGTGCAAGCCATGCGTGACTCCGATGGAGGAGCGATCGGCGACGAAGGATAGCACCCGCGCGAAAGTAGATGCAACACTCTACCGAAGCATCGTCGGCGGTCTGCGCTACCTAGTCCACACAAGGCCGGACATTGCGTTCGCCGTGGGCTACGTCAGTCGCTTCATGGAGGATCCCAGAGAGGATCACTGGGCTGCGGTAAAGCGGCTACTACGCTACGTCAAGGGGACGGTGAATCATGGAATCATCTTCCCAAAGACTGGGGGAAGTAGGCTGCAGCTCACGGTGTTCAGCGATGCAGACATGGCGGGGGACATCGACGGACGACGGAGCACCTCTGGCGTACTCGTCTTCCTCGGGTCAGCCCTAATTTCATGGCTGTCACTGAAACAGAAGGTGGTAGCGCTATCTACGTGCGAGGTAGAGTACGTAGCGGCGGCCACAGCGGCGTGCCAAGTTGTGTGGCTACGCCGGCTGCTGGGTAAGCTAACCGGCATGGAAGCTCACCCACCAGCACTGATGGTGGACAACCAGCCCGCCATCGCCCTCGCGAAGAATCCGGTTCTGCACGACCGGAGTAAACACATCGACGTGAAGTTCCACTTCCTCGTGGGCTGTTGATGGAGGGCGGTCGTCATCGAGTTTGTCGGCTGGTCGGCAACTCGCGGACGTCCTCACCAAGCCGCTCGGAAGACTTCGACTCACGGAGCTGAAGGAGATGATCGGCATGGAGGGGTTACAAGGATTAGCAGTAGGATTAGGGAAAGATTGTTAGCTAATCTACTGCCACCTTGTGTGAACACAGCAGAGGAAGGCGGCGCCCGACTTAGTCACTGCCGTGTGTGAACACAAAACAAGGGAAGGCGGCGCCGACTTTGCCCCTGTGTGATACAAGAGGCAGCTGTAGAGCAAGCGCCGCAGCGGCTCACCTACAAAGATCTTTAGGAAAGAGCAGGCGGTGGCGGCGTGAGAGTCAGCCTGTCGCGGGTTATCTAGATTCTTGTGCCAGCATGATGGGCGCCGCACATGGACTAGATAGTTAGAGTTGTATAAATAGACATGTATGGCAACTCAGTAAAGAGAGCTCAGATTTGCCATCACACAGACAGGGTTTCGGCCAACGCTGTTGCCTTATATTGTGCGTGCTTGCTCTATTCTCCCTTCCTCTTCTAGCTCGATCCGTAGTGTGTGGGTACGGACAACGCCGATGCGTGGTCTGCACGCACGGCTAGTGGGTGCTCGGCAACACTAGCGCGTGCTCGGCGAGACCGACAAGTGCTCCACTACTTTGAGCCGGTGGTCGGCAAGATCGGCCGGAGTGGTTCACCGTCGTGAGCGGTGATCTGTGAGACCAACGGAGGTGTGCTGGAGATCATCTCGGTGGTCGGGAGGCTAATCAGGGCCAACATCTGCCACCGCTGCGTCGCATAAGTGCGTCGAAAGTAGCCCCGCGGCTGTTGGCTGTCTCTCGGTCGGTCGTAGTCGGATCTAGGCATGGGGAAGCCGGATCTGCCCTCACCAATGCCGGATCGCGCCGGCCGCTCCCTCGCTGACAGCGTTGGCCGGAGACGGGAGGAGGGGCCACCGCGCAATGGAGAAGAGAAAGAAGCGCTTGGGGAGAGGGAGACGCTGGACCGAAGTTGGGAAGCCGGATCCGCCCTCATTGGGGCTGGATGCGCCACCGGCCGCTCTCCAAATGACAAACCGGCTAGAGACGGGGGAGGAGGGTGCGCGGCACACGATCGGAGAATAGGGAGACGCTCCTAGGGAGGATGGAGACACCGGATCCAGGTGTGGGAAGCCAGCTCTGCCCTCACCAGCGTCGAATGCGCCGTCGGCCGAGCCTTTTCCGCAGCTCCGATGCAGAAGCTCCATGGGAGAGAGGGGAGGAAGAGGACCCAGCTGCCGCTGTCCTCACCGTCCGCCGGACTTCCATAGTCAAGCTCTGGCGGCGACCAGGCCAAGAGGGCGCAGTGTCTGACCCAACGGCGGCGGCGGCGTGGGTGCCGCCTGAGTCGCCCCTAGTTTAGAGATTTATCAATGATCATGTCATGTGTTTTAATTTTTTTAGGATCAGACTTTGCACATGCCTCAAATTTAACTTGTATGGACATGAGAGAGAGTGGTGGATCATGGAAACACTTTGTATTACAACTCATTTTCGAATCAGACTCTGCATCATGATTAGACACACTACTCTAACTTGTATAGACATAGGAGAGATCAAGTCCTTCAGATCCCTATTAGACAGCTGGCTACGAGCGATGAAAGATAAAGAAATATTTTGCTTTATAATATTATATATATTAGAGAAACTAGTCCATCAACCAGAGCAGAGACTATGATCTTAGAAAATAACCTTAAAGTATAGTAAAAAGTTATAAGTGGATTCTAGGATGATTAAGAGAGAAGAGAAGTGAATTATAAGTTAACAACTAGTTGATGCACGAGTTTTAAAAAAGAGAAAGAAAGCAAACTATGTATTAATGATTAATATGTTCTAATAGCCAACTACTATATGACCTGGCTGATAGCCAACAATAGTTTGTATTATTAGCCACACTCTTGGTATACAGTTGACCAGTTCGTTGCAGCATCAACACCGATCATTTCCTTCTTGATATTCTCGTGTCCTTCATCAGTTTGAGGTGATCATATTGATCACCTGCGTCATCTCTCCACCGCTTGGCAAGTGTTACACTCGCTACAATGCAAGTCAGGCAACTAATCACAACCAAATCTAGCTAGGGTAAACTTGGACCACAAACCAAATAAACCCACTAAAGCCGGTCTGTCAGTCTAAGAGCATATTTGAATGTAGGAGCTAATTGTTAGCTAGCTAAAAATTAGCTAGGATATGCCCTGGCGCATCTAAACGGTAGGTCTATGGGGTTTTACTTCATCCTAGCCACCCTAGCCAACTCTAACTAGTTTGCATTAATTTTTACTCTCAACTAGTAACTAGCCCAGTGATCTATACATGCTCTAAGTTAGGCATGGCTAGGAATTACCAGCATCTAATCACTACATACGTAAAGCCATCTGAAAAGCACGTATGGCTTTTATTTAATTTGTCGTGTTGAGATAATTGTCATAATTCAGGTAAAAAAAAATTATATTAACATAGAAACCATCAGAAATACCAAGATATGACATGTAGCGATTGTGTCACAAATATAACAATAGACTTGCACTTTTTTCTTTATATATATATATATATATATATATATATATATATATATATATAATATTAACGTACGTATATTATGGATGTACGTAGTACGGGTCTGTTGGGTTCAGTGCCCCAGGCAAAGTTGTTTGGTCAGGCCAGGTAGAAATCTAGACCATCAATCGGTGTAACGTCGCGACCCAAACAGGCCTGCTACACGCTCAGGCTCAGGTACATGTCAATCTTGAGCACGGCGTTGCCGTCGGTGGCGTTCAAGGTGTGGGTCCTGAACTCGCCATACCCGGTGACGCCGCGCAACGTGCCGGTGCCGCCGACGACGGGGAGCTCCCTGACGTCGACCTTGTCAAGGATGAGGTCCCTGCCCAGCACGGCGACCGTGCTGCCGTTGTGAGGCCCCGCCGTGAGCACCATGTTGACGCAGAGCAGCGGCGCCAGCTCTGTCTGCGACGCGAACACGTAGGACCCCTGCGCGCGTCCCAGGTCGTCCCACGTAGGACCCCTTCCGTCAGCAGGTCGTCGGCAGCGGCGTCACGCCCCTGGCCACGCGTACCGCCGTCGCCGGAGCCCCCGGATATGGAGTCACGAGGTCGTGCATGTAGAACCGGAGGTGCGTGCTCGTCGGGGCGCTTCCGCCGACGACGACGCCAGCGAGTGACAGAGAGATGAGTAGTGCTAGCTGGAGCAGCATGCCGTTGCCGTGCTTCATGTTGGCCGCGCGCCTTGGCACGAGGGAGGGATGAGCTGATCTATTAGCACAGTACAGCAGGGATGTGAGAACTCAGTCCTGAACTAAGTATTATTCTATTTGGTTGAGCAGAATTTATAGACCAACCTGCAGAACAAGTACAAAACGGAGGTTGACCATGACTGACCCTTGTATTGTTTTCTATTCGCGTAATAATGTTGCAGTGGGGCCTTGAAAATGAAGTCAGAATTATATTGTTAGAAACACACGGTCTATTTTCTGTGATGCTTTGGAATTACTCCCTCCGTCACCGAATATAAGACGCAATTTGGCTTGCAGCGGTCTTCAAGAACATATTTTGATCTATAATTTCTTTTACAATATATAATTTATAGGAACAAAAGTTTGATCATTAGAAAGTATTTCAAAATATAAATCTAATGTAACTATTTTTGTAATATAAACTTTTGATTTAATTAGGCTAATTGTTAGTCAAAGATAACAAAGTTTGAATTTTAAAATACATGCGTGCCTTATATTCACGGACGGAGGGAGGAAATTACAATGTTTAGAACTTCCAATTAGTCTACTATGTACCCGTACGTTGCAATTGTTGTGTAGTTATACCTGGACGACTAGCGATCATGTCATGTGTTTCAGTTCATTTGTGAAATGAACTCTTGCCTGGACACGTGCTGCTTTAACTCGTATAGGCATGGAAGGTTTAGAGATTTATCAATAATCGTGTCATATGTTTCGATTCATTTTAGGATCAGACGCTACACATGCCTCAACATACTTAACTCATACGGACATGAGAGAGAGAGGGTGTGGTCAACTATAGAAACACTTTGTATTCCAACTCATTTTTGAATTGGACTCTACACCATGTTTAGACACACTACTCCAATTTATACGACATGAGAGAGATTGAGCCCGTGAGATCCCTATTAGACGGTTGATGAAAGACAAACAAACATTTTGCTCTATAATATTTGGTTAGAGATGGACTAGTCCATCAACCAGAGCAGACTATGATCTTAGAAAATAGCCTTAAAGTATAGTAAAAAGTTGTAAGTTGGTTCTATGTTGATTGAGGAGAAGGAGGAGAAGTGGATTGTAAGTTTATAGCTAATTAATATATGAGCTTCAAATAACTTTGCGAGAGAAAAAAGCAGACCATGTATTAATAATGGAATATATCCTAATAGCCAACTTCTATATAGATATGGCAGCGGCGTCGCGGGAGTCTCCGGCGATGGCGTCACGATGTCGTGCATGTAGAACCGGAGGGACAGAGATATGAGTTTGATAAGGGTCAGAGATCACCAACAGCAAGGTACCGATGGAAACCTCCTCGGGGTGGCCCGATCTTCACGACAGTAGGTTGGAAATCACAAGATAACTTGCTGCGAACAGCGGAGGATAACTAGCTTTATACCTGCCAAGGTTGGACGCGACCAAGCGACGGGGAGAGAAAGACACCGAAACCACGAAGACTTCGACTCGATCTTCGAACGACCGTAGAACCACGACCGGAGCTAATCCACACAAGGCAGGGCAGCCGTACTGGAACCCGCAAAGCACGAACTAGTGAATCACAGAGGAATCTCTTCACAAGTCCAAGAAGAACAAGGAAGAACAAGGGTTTGAGTAAGCACTCGGCAGCTCGGCTGCAATATCACTGGAATTATCAAATCATTCAAAAGTCCTTTTCTAGTAGCCTAGAGGTGGTATTTATACTATGAGAAGTTTCTAAGATAGATGTGAACTGAAGAAGCCACGTTGGAAGGTGGAAGGACAACGAACTAGAGCATTCACGAAGTGGTCTTCAGTTTCCGCGTGTCTTCTGGGCTTCTAGGCAGTCTTTAATGTTTTGGTCATAACTCCTTCCACGAATTATTGTAGAATGGTACAGTTTTTGCACGGGCTCTTTTGCTTCATGCAAACTATTGAGCTTCGGAGCAATCTTCACTAAAATTGGTCGAACGCCCAGCTCTTCTCTCTGATCCATCCTTGATGTATCCTTGTCTTCTTTCTTGGAGAACCTGAGTAATAACAACATGCATGACTTAGATAGCTCGAAATTACCATCAATGTTTAATTGAAATTCACAAAGTAGCGCGTGCACCTCTTGTTGTATCTTTTTAGCGCGGCTACGGGTGATTGGTCCAGTAGGGACTTGAAGTGGTGTCTCAACTGGTGAGGTGGTCGGAGAGGTGATCGGAGTGGTCGGAGTGGTCGGAGAGGTGGTCGGAGTGGTCGCCGAGGTCTCCGACGCTGGCGTGGTCACATCATCCTCCCCCCTTGAAAAGGAGTATGTCCTCGACTCTTCTAATCCAAAGAATGGAGAGAGGTCGGCCACATTAAAACTGGTACTCACACCATAAGTACTTGGCAGATCAATTTCATAAGCGTTGTCGTTGATCTTGCGTAGCACTTTGAATGGACCGTCAGCTCGGGCTTGCAACTTGCTTTTGCGTTGTTCAGGAAATCTATCCTTGCATAAATGCACCCAAACCAAGTCTCTTGGTTCAAAATAACACCTTCCTTCGACCTTTATTGGCGTGCTTCTCATACATCCTGGTCATCTTTTCAATGTTTGTCCGAGCTCTATCATGAAGGTTCTTGACAAACTCGGCTCGCTTGCTTGCATCGAAGTTTACACGTTCCTACATAGGTAAAGGCAAAAGATCTATGGGAGCAGTGGGTTTAAATCCATATACAATTTCAAATGGACAAAATTTAGTGGTCGAATGTACTGCCCTGTTGTATGCAAACTCGACATGTGGCAAACTTTCTTCCCAAAGTTTCAAGTTCTTCTTGAGGATAGCTCGTAGTAGCATTGATAGAGTACGGTTCACAACTTCAATTTGTCCATCTGTTTGTGGATGACACGTCGTAGAGAATAGCATCCGTGTTCCAAGTTTGCCCCACAAAGTTTTCCAAAAATAACTCAAAAATTTAGTGTCATGATCAGAAACAATTGTTCGTGGCACTCCATGTAGTCGTACAATTTCTTTGAAAAACAATTCAGCGATATTTGAAGCATCATCGCTCTTGTGGCATGGAATAAAATGTGCCATTTTGCTAAAATGATCAACTACAACAAAGATGAAATCCCTTCCCCGCTTGGTTCGAGGTAAACCAAGAACAAAATCCATGGAGATATCTTCCCAAGCCACAATAGGAATAGGCAGAGGAGTGTATAATCCATGAGGATTCACACGGGACTTAGCTTTGTGTCATGATTCGCAGCAAAGAACATGTCTCTCCACATCTCTTCTCATCTTTGGCCAAAAGAAGTGGTCGGTAAGGACTTGTTCTGTCTTTTTGGCACCGAAATGTCCCATGAGTCCTCCTGCATGGGCTTCCTGCACAAGTAAAATTCGAACAGAGCAATCTAGAATACAGAGTTTGTTAGCTCGAAACAAAAACCCATTATTCACATGAAATTTTTCCCATCCTTTGCCTTCTCGACACTTAGAATATGGTTCAGCAAAATATGAATCAATTCCATATAAATCTTTTATGCTTTCTAAGCCAAGAATCTTAGCGTCAAGTTGGGTTAGCAAAGTGTGACGTCGAGACAAAGCATCTGCTACAACATTCTCTTTTCCTTTCTTGTACTTGACAATATAGGGAAATGACTCAATGAATTCACACCATTTGGCATGCCTTCTATTTAGTTTTAGTTGTCCTTTAAGGTGTTTCAATGATTCATGATCTGAATGTATCACAAATTCTTTAGGAAAAAGGTAATGCTGCCAAGTTTCCAAACTTCGAACGAGAGCATATAATTCTTTATCATAAACTGAATAATTTAGAGTTGGACCACTTAGCTTTTCACTGAAGTATGCAATTGGCCTTTGTTCTTGCATGAGCACACCTCCAATCCCAACTCCACTTGCATCACATTCTATTTCAAATGTCTTATCAAAATCTAGGAGGGCAAGGACTGGGACTGTTGTTAACTTCATCTTCAATTCTTCAAATGCCTTCTGTTGTGCTTCTCCCCACTTAAAAAGCACTTCTTTCTTGGTCAGCTCATTGATTGGTACAGCAATAGTGCTGAAATCCTTCACGAACCGCCGATAGAAACCAGCAAGTCCAAGGAAGCTTCTGACTTGGCTCACGTTCTGTGAAGGCGTCCAGTCTCGTACAGCCTTGATCTTTTCTTCATCTACCTCCACTTCTTGTCCTGTAACAACAAATCCAAGAAAGACTACCTTGTCGGTGCAAAAGGTGCACTTCTCAAGGTTAGCATACAATTTCTGTTCACGTAGGACAGCAAGCACACATTTGATATGTTTAACATGTTCATCAAGAGACTTGCTGTAAATTAAGATGTCATCAAAGTAAACGACAACAAACTTACCAATGAAAGTTCTAAGCACATGATTCATCAATCTCATGAATGTACTTGGTGCATTGGTTAACCCAAAAGGCATTACCAACCATTCATACAACTCAAATTTTGTTTTAAAGGTTGTTTTCCATTCATCTCCTTCTTTCATGCGAATCTAGTGATATCCACTTCTTAAATCAATTTTAGTGAATATGATAGCACCACTAAGTTCATCAAGCATATCATCCAGCCGAGGGATGGGGTGTCTATACCTTATGGTAATGTTTTTTTAATGCTCGGCAATCCACACACATCCGCCAAGACCCATCTTTCTTAGGAACTAAAAGGACAGGAACAGCACAAGGTGACAGACTTTCTTGTACATACCTTTTTCTCATCAATTCTTCCACTTATCGCTGAATCTCCTTGGTTTTTTCCGGGTTGGTGCGGTAGGCAGCACGGTTTGGGAGTGAAGCACCAGTCACAAGATCAATTTGATGTTCGATTCCTCTCTTAGGTGGTAGTCCTGGTGGAACTTCATCCGGAAAGACATCCTCATATTCCTGTAACACATCAAAGACAACACTTGGCAGGGTAGAGAGTAAGTTGTTAGTAGAAAGAAGAGTGTCCTTGTACAGGAGTACGAAGAACATGGCATTGGGTTCACTTAATT